ATTTTCTCTTCCTGTCAAATGTTTCAAATGCCTGATGATGACTCACCCTGCACTCAGGGGCGTTTTACAAATTTTTCCCTAATTTAAAAACCTTTGTTAATGCTTACAATCCAGTCAAATGCATCCCAACGTCATGTCACATCTTGTGTCTTTTTTTTAGACTTTATCAGGTAGGACATTTGAAAAGAGGCAGGGGAATGTTGGGAGGAGAGAGTGGGGGGGGGGGGGTAGTAGGTACAGTAGTTGTGTGATCAAAGGTATGGGGTTGTTCCCAGAGTCATTTTGAGATTTTAAAGTTGGCCACAGCATTTTTAAGTTTGGGATTGTTTTTTTTTTTCATAGAAGAAATGATGATGAACTGATGTTGCTTTGTGTCTTTGTTTCAGTGTTCGTTGGAAGATCCTGCTGCAGTTTCAGTGTCGAAACAGATTGCTGCTCACCGGGACACCCATCCAGAACACCATGGCTGAGGTGAGAAACGTGTGTGTGTGTGTGTGTGTGTGCGTGTGTGTGTGTGTGTAGAGCCAGTTCACCCAGGAAACGGTCAGGGTTTGCCCAAAACATGACGTTTGGAAGGAGGGCTTGGGCGTGTGTGTGTGTGCGCGTTGATGTGAGCTTGACAGAACTGACGTGTGTTTTCTCTGTCCCTCAGCTGTGGGCCCTGCTGCACTTCATCATGCCCACACTGTTCGATTCCCATGACGAGTTTAACGAGTGGTTCTCCAAGGACATCGAGAGCCACGCTGAAAACAAGTCTGCCATCGACGAGAGTGAGTTCAACTTTTCTCAGATGCCTTTTTTTCCCAGTGTTTTTGTTCATATTTTCCAGCCAATAACACATCATGTTTTTTTTGTTTTTTTATGTATTTGTAGGGAAATTCTATCTTTTTTGTGCCAGCATTGAAATTTTATCGCTGCTCACTGTTGCATGTAATTTGTTCTGTAACTTAATAATTGTTTGATGTTTTCTTTTCAGACCAACTTTCCCGACTTCACATGATCCTGAAGCCTTTCATGCTGAGGAGAATCAAGAAGGATGTGGAAAACGAGCTCTCAGACAAGGTAAGGGAGGAAAAAATTTTCCTCTGTGTTTGCAGAACCAAGCTTTTCTTCTTGTGCATTTAAACGCACCGAAAAAGTCTCACTAAAGTGATGTGAATCCTCACTCTTCTGAGCAAAAGCAGCCTGTACATCGTTATGATTCTGCTGAACGATTGCACAAAGTTGTAAAATCCCACAGTCCAAGTTTATTTAATGTATCTAATACAAATATATATATTTAGTCCATAACGTGCAGCTCTCATTCTTTCCTCTCCTGTGTGAGCGTGCACCCTTCCTCCGTTTGCCCACCTTGTACACCTCATTAACACACAGCACTGTAATCAGCTTGTGAGTGATGCTCGTGCTGGCAGATCCTCTTGACAGGTGTTGGACTCGAGGTCTCTGCCTGTCACACACATCGCACACATACTCACTCACTCACACACACACACACACACACACACACACACACACACACACACACACACACTGTGGGAGGCTCTGTACGCGGCGTCAGAGGAATTGCAGAGTTCACGGCTCCCACACATCTGTCTTTGTCTCTCTCCCCTCCTCACACCCACACTGCCAGTCCACTTTTTCTCCTCCTGCACTCTTTCTCGTTGCTTTCTCTTGTTTTGTCTGCGCGTTGAAGCCAACAGTAGACCAGGGGAGTTCACTTGTGGTTCATGGTTAGGTTCTTTATGGCTCGCTATTGTTGGGTTTCAATGTTTTCCTCGAACAAGAAAAGAGATAGAAGCAGACATTTCTTCGTGTTTTTAAAGACTGTAATCAGGCTGGACATGAATTCTGCACCTATAAATTCTTGTTGCGCCAATGTGACAGGTTTGAATGGAGGAATAACATGCCAGTAATGCTGAATCATTTGTCTTTACTGTGGCCTCATTTATTATAGAATCAATCTTTTTCCACTAGGTTCCACTTACTGCATTTTTATGGAATATTCCCACAAAACCTTTGGTCACTTTTCATTCTGAAGTGCAGGCAAATGGAGACATTTTATTGTTTCTTTGTATTTTTATGTTCTCTTTACGATTGAATCTGTTCATGAGCTGAGTATTAGCATCAGTGGATACTCGCCCTGTCGACAGATACGGGCATTTTTTTGCAAATTTGGCACTAACTGTAGCAGATACATAACTGTCATCTTTCATCAATTTAAGGGTGGCAAGTCATGTTTAGCGTACTGTAAGGTTTTTGCTTTTGGAAACAAAACATACTTAGTGTGGAAAAACACACTTTGTCTTTGTTTCAGTAGTTGTGACGTCTGCTGTAGATTCATTGTCAGTCTTAAGTTTACCTGAAAGTCCTCTGACAAAATTAGCCATGCTTAGCTTAGACTTTAAACTTTATTGTCACACTGTGCTTATTTTTCACAGCACTGTTACTGTCCACCAGAGAGCATGCATACACAAAACACAGAGTAAAACACAACCAGGGTTAGGCAACAGCCAAGAGTTCCCACTCTGGCCTGTTCAGCGAGGCCTTTTGTTCAGGGCAGTTATTACTTGCATTGCAAAACCGTATGAATTATGTTTATTTAGCCTTGCCCCCTCCCCCCCATCCTAACTTTGACCCCCACCCACTAGAGGGAACGGGTCCCACTAAGGGAGCCACTGGGTTAATTTATCTGTTATTTAAATAGGGGTTTTTGTTGCGCAGTTAAGTATTGAAAATAGCATCATACAGTCTGTTTTATATAAAGTCAGCTGAAGAGGTTTTTGAAGCAGTTATTTTTATAAAAGATGGTTCAATTAAAGGCTGTTTTACCTTTGAATTTGTGCTGACTCAGAGATAGTGTGATGAAGACCCTGAATAACTTCAACAATGTTCACTAATGTTTTATGATGTTGTTTAAAAGTGGTCCCTGCCTTAACAATTAAAATCGAACGAGCGACACAAATTGATCAAAGAAAAACATTGATAACAGAATCATCTAGTGGCTTTTTTTATTTTATTTTCAACATTGGTAAAGGTATCGGAGCTGATTCTCTTAATCTGTGCATCCTTAGTTCTCATCATTCAGTTTGAAGAAGACAAAGGGGGATCTGCAATTGTACCACACATAAAGGCTCTTCTTCATACAATTTCACTTAACTGAGAGAGACAACATACTATCTGTTTTTATTTGCCGCTGTTGGCATGTCCCCCCCCCCCCCCCCTTATCTGGATGTGAGCTAGACGTCGCTTTCTTTTTTCCTCTCCTCCTGCAGATCGAGATCCTGACCTACTGCCAGCTGACGTCCCGGCAGAGGTTGCTCTACCAGGCTCTGAGAAACAAGATTTCCATCGAGGATCTGCTGCAGTCCTCCATGGGCACGTCCCAACAGTCCCACAGCACCACCTCCTCCCTCATGAACCTGGTCATGCAGTTCAGGAAGGTATACAAAAACAGAATGAGGTGCAGCAAGAAGAACTTTGAATATTTTGTCAAATGTTGCAACCAGGATGATGAATGAGAGTTATTTCTGTTAAGGATTTGAGGCTATTTTTAAGCATCACATTATCAAAACTCTGATTATTTTCTTCTACAGTCGACTTTCAAGGGAATTTTAATGTTCCAATACTAATAACAGGCCTACATTTTATTGGTGGTGATTCAATTTGAGACGTACAATCAATCAAACACACAAGGAATTGGCGTAAGAAGCGAAATCAGTGTTTTCTCTGTTTTGTGCTTTTGTGTAGGTGTGCAACCACCCCGACTTGTTCGAGCGCCAGGAAACTCGCTCTCCTTTCCATATGTACATCAAGCCCTACATCCTGTCGAAGTTTCTGTACCGGCACGGCCTCATCCACGCACACAACCAGGCCAAAAACAAGTAAGCTCTCCTACAAAGATATACACACACACACACACACACACACACACTGTGCCTGAAATCCAATGAAAACAGGTCCATTATAATGTCCACAGTCCTTGTTTTGAGAGGGTTAGATTTAACATTGAAATGATTGAGTTAAACACTAGTAAAATAGTTCTTGTGGATATTTGCTGATTTTGGAGTTACACAGGGCTATTATCTCAATTAGAGCAGTTAGCAACATAAATGTGGCTCTAACTGGCATTAAGTGAAAATCCAAATTCTTCTTCTTTCTCTCAAAGTCTCTTATGTAACCCTGTCTGTCTCTCCCATCCTCCTCAGATTACTTCAAGTGTTGCTGTCTCCCTTTTCTCCAAGTCACATTCAGCAGTCTCTTTTTCACAGAAAAGGTGAGGACATTTTCTTAAGCTTAAATAAACACGGAGCTCTGAGATGATCGTTTGTATTTGACATGCAGATCTGATGTTTCAATCATTCCTGTTCCTGTTCTACTTGGACTCTTCCAGGTGATGACAAAGGAAGCTGCTTCTCTTTCCTGCGCTTCATCGACGTGTCACCGGCAGAGATGTCCAGTCTCATGTTGCAAGGCACCTTAGTAAGGTGGGATCTAAGTACCCATTGTGGGATCTGTTACTATCCTTGTCTTCGTTCCAAATAAGTCCGTGAAGTGTCTGGGGTAGTAAAAAAAAAAAGAGAGTTTCCTTCAGCAGAAAGTCCAGATGTCCAAAATGTCTCTTAGAAAAACACCACATGTGCAGCAGCTCTTTTGTCATCTTTGCACTCTGAAAGTTTTATCACTGTATAATGTCAATCTTTTAACAATAGTTATGCTAATAGTAGGAATCTCCAAAATATTTTTTTTGAAAAATGTAATCATGTTTTCCTGCTTCCCTTCTTTTTCCTCTCTTTAGATGGTTAGCCCTTTTTCTCTCCCTCAAATCGGCATATCGGCTCCACTACCAACGTCTGTTCGGTCTTGAAGAAGAGGGTCAGGCGGAAACCGGAGACTCGGAGGGGGACAGAGGAAGGTCACCGCCCAGGAATCAAAAGTGTTTGTCTCGCAAGGACCTTATTCTGTGGCCTAACAGACCCACGAGTTTCCCCAACACGCACACAAGCTCAGTCCTACAGGTATGAAAACACACACACACACACGAAAATCTATGTGCACAAACCCCCTGTAGTAGCCATCTGCTGTAAATGTGGGTGTGACGGGTCCTCCACTAGTGAGCCATGTGCTGCTGAGGATGCTGGACATTTCCCCCTGAGCTATCAGTTAGTTGTTTGGCCACACAGCGTGCTCTCTGCCCCCTCCCCGGGCTTCCTCTCCCTCCTCTGGGATCCAGGTTGCAACCCAATCCCACTGAAGGCCAGTGACCCAGCAACACTGTCCTCCCTCCCTTCTGTGAGTCTATAGGGTCTGTGCAGACCGGCTACTGTCTATACATCTTCTGTTAGAGGACAAAATTATGTTTACAAGAAAAGAAAACAGGAGCCTATGAATTCAAGGCCAAGAAACACTGACTGCATTTGAAAAAATATATATTTTAAAGTCATCCTTCCAACATCCAGCGTCCTTCTCTGACGCACAAACACACACATTGTAAACAGCCATTTAAACCACACATTTTCCCTCCTTCTTAAAGATAATGTGTGGTATAAAACCAGTTTGGCTGTTCTGTCAGCACCTTTAGAGGCTATAATACTTACAGGAAACGTGGTTCTAAGTGCACTAACAGTTGTAACAGAGGCTGGATGGAAGAGGCTGTGTGATCTGGAAATGAGTATAGTACATTGTTGATGTTCCTATTCTGGCTGTGGACAACTGTAGCACACCACAGTTCTTCTTAACTGCGTTCAGATTCTTTCGTTCATGTTGGATTCTGCTGCTCGGAACAGAAGGGTTACACATGTTTCCTCAGTTTCTTTTGTCTTTTGTATTATTTGGCAATATGGGAACCCTAGTGTTGGTCAGGAAGAGACGAAACAAAGCGTTGATGCCAGCTCAGATATATAAATCAGCCCCCAAAAACATGAACAGCCTGCAGATGCTAGGTCACTGTGGCAACACAGGTTTTAGTCATTCTGCTGAGGGAAAAAGGGAAAAAGAAAACGGATACAACATTCCGTTCAATTGTTCACACCGAACAGCTACCACCTTGCAGATATGTATCAAATTGCCAACCTCTACCAAATGTAACTTAACTTGTTGGGTGGAAAGTCCTCTGGAGAAAAAGGCTGTGGGGGTAATTCCATCCTCCTCTTCCTCCTCTTGGCCTCATCGCTTAGTCAGGCAGCTGCCTCGCATCTTAGGTTCCCCCCTGGAGCGGCATCAGGAACGGAAGAAGCAGAAAAATCCAAGAAGCTAGTTAGAAAATGCCAGAGACAAGAGAGAAACGTTCAGACACCCGGGGACTCAAATACTGGATGTATATAACGTACGACCACGCTGACCCCAGACTCCCACCGCAGCTTCTCGAAAATCACTCACCCCCACACAGTTTAGAGCAACTTCTTTCAACTGCTCATTTTTCTTTTGAAGCTGCGTGAAGCTGGCACTCAGCGCGGCTTCTCTCCGCTTGGCTCATCTCTCTTTCTCTCTGGCTGTGTACTTAACAGTATGTTCACTGTTGCCTTCAGCTATCCTGCTGCTCCTGTTGAGGAATTGAGAGAACAAGGCAATGCTGAAGACCTCCTTTTACTCATACAGCTTTGGGGCTCTGCTTCAAATGGGCTGCCTGCCCCTCTTCATACTTCTGTCCCTCTGTCAAAACCCAAATCGAACTCATGTACACGTTTTTTCATTTCTGATATTCGTCATGTTGTACTTTACCTGTCATAATATAAGATTGATAGGTGTTTTGTTATATATGAATGAGTGATTATTTTCCTCCTATCTCTGTTTGATTTATTATTTTTTCCATTTGAAGTCAACCTGTCTTCTTTGCCATCTGTGTATCCTGCATGTTCAACGACAGTACATCACTGCACTCTCTTTAGCTCCCACACAGTAGGCCACCCACACATTAGTGAAAATTGATTCCATATTTGCATGTGCTTCCATCGTTTCCCAACAAAGTGAAAAAACTCTAAAAAAAAAAAAAAAAAAAAGATCATTTTTGGAACAATTTCTCCCAAAAATGTGGCTTATAAATCAGAAACCTTTCCTTTCTCACATAGGGATGTAACACTGTTCAATCAGTCCAAAGTGGAGAAAAATCAAATAGTCTCTCCTTAATGATATAAACCTTTGAACTCAAAAAAAAAAAAAAAACAAGTATCTGTGGCGGATCATTGCTGCTGTCTGAAGCAGATATTGACTTGTTAGGTAGAGATATGAGTAGCTGCTTACTCATGGTGAAGACGATCGGAGCCTGCCATCTCTGCCATTAGGTGGCACTGTGTATCCATCATATAGTGCAGTGACACACTATACATACACATTCACAGAACTTATAAGTAAATATAACCTTTATGTCCCTCTGCATTATACTTAAATAATTCATCAAATGCTCTTCAGGATCAGACCTTCTTCAATATATATGTATGTTTAATGTCCGTCTGGCTGAAGAAGAAAAGTAGTCATGATTAGACGGGAATTCAAAGTATGCACTAAAAATCCTAGAAGCTGCATAATCATACATTTGATGAAACAATTTTAGCATTTGGTTTGAATTTTAAATACCATGTTAGGCATGTGGCCAATGCAACTTAAACATACTGTCAGAGCAGTTTAAAGTGCTACACTCGGTAACCTCTGAAGGAACTCAGCTTGTTCAACATCAGTTACTTTGATGCTGATTGTTCAAATTAACTATAATTGAATAAAGATATATTTCCATGAATCCCATTCAAACCAGCAATCAGTTCAGCAGGAGGGGAAACACCAAAAACATGCTTTAGAAATAAACATCACTTAAGCACATTTTTACCACTAACATATAATTACTGCCCTGCTGATGTTTGGTCAGTAATGTGGATTTCTTTGTGTGTGTGTGTTTCAGGAGCTGGTGTTCACAGCCTTAAGGTCCGGCATTGTCGGACACACAGACGTGATTATCCACAGTCGAAGCTCTGCCACCTCCTCGGTACGACCCTCCCAGCTCACGCCGCCACCCAAGTTCCTGCTAGCTGCCACACCCAGGGTATGTCTGTCTGTCTGTCTGTATATATGTGAGCAAGAGGAGCAAGTGGCCCAAAAGTTCTCCTTGCAAATCCCCTGTGTGTGTTTTTTTAATGGACGGTGTGTGTGTGATTGCTGGCCTTTTGTAAGACATACAAGCATTTGGGTGGTCGTGGAAAGGGAAGAGGGAACCGCGTGCACATTGCCTTTGTAGGTCTTTCAACAATGAAAATCTCCAATCTGCAAAGTGTTGGTGTTTTGTTTTCTGTGTGTGTGTGTGTGTGTGTGTGTGTGTGTGTGTGTGTGTGACTGTGTGTGGTTGGGGTGTGGGGTGACCACTGTGGTTTCCAGCTGCATTTAAAACAAACAGAGGCTCTAAAAAAAGGGCTTCTAACTCAGGGCCACCAGTTCTTAAGCTTCCTCTTGCCCTCCTCCTATACAAACACACACACATACACACACACACACACACACCCGTAGTCCCTGCTGATTCAGTAAAAACAGCCCATGCAGTATTTTTGTACAGATCTCTCGATGTTTTTCTATCATGTGTTTTCGTTTAATTGATCAAAAACAGCCAAATACAAACAAATAAACAGTTTTTTTTTAGACAACACTAAATGTTCTGCTTTGAAAACATCTCAGCATAAAGTCTTGCATTTCTCTGCCACACAATATTCTTTCATTTCAAATATAAAAAAACCCCTATCTTCTCTTTTGGTTTCCTAGGTGACAGCAGTTCCCATGGAGCGTTATTGTGACGACCGCAGTGCAGAGTACGAGTGGCGGGTGACACGCTGCGGTGGGGGCACTATCTTCAAACAGTGTTTCCTTTACGGCTCCCCTGAACTCGCTTTGGAATGGCAGGCTAGATCCAACTCCTTCCACCCACAATGCCCTGGGGGCGTGATGGCCATGTACCCTCGACACGGATGGTCCTTCATACGGATACCTGGTAGGAGCTCAGTGTTTCTGGTGTCCTTGTTGGAGGGTTTTTGTTATACTTCTGTGTCTGTTGCAGTGTCTCCATTGGACAGATTTGTTACTCTGCTTTAGCTCTATAGACGGTATAAAAATGGACAACATGAAAGCTCCTCAAAAGTGAAGCCAAAACATTTAGAGCCCCCCCCCCCCCGCTGGTTTGCTACAGTATAGTTCCTAAGCTTCATCATGTTAACAGATAGGACATGGGTCTAACTATAAAATCAAAACATATCAAATCATTTTTAATGGAATGTGGTTTCAGTCTTTAATATAGTAATTATTAAGAGTTGATTCATCAGAAAAAGCTGAGTTTTATTTAGATGATTGATGCTAAAGGGTAACAGACCTTGATTGACAGCTTTGTTGACGGCTCCTGCAGTGCTGTGTGTCACAGTGTAGACGAGGAACGATGCATTAACACTAACACAAGAGCCTTTAAACTTCAGCTTTAAACTGACACAAGAATCTGTTCTGCTGTAGACTGCATCAACCTGAGGGAATCGTTCCTGTTTTTACCAGTAAAATAAATGTATTGTTTGGTTAGTGAAAATGGTGTGGCTTCACCTTTGTACAGCAGGAGGAGGTTTGAAATCCATTCTTCTTCTTTATACACAGTCAATGTTGAGCTCACACTGGCTAAATGGATGCTATGTAACTAAAATGTGAAAAAAAAAAGTTACAAGTTAATTAGTAAAAAAAAAGAATCAGGTAGTCTGCATCGCTGTGGAAAAAGACAGCCACACTTGCAAAGATACTGTTCTGGCTTTTTATTCAGTAGTTTTAACTGACAGTTTTATCATACACTGGATTTCCAGTTTTTGACAGAAGCACGATATATAGGCCCGTGGGAGAGTCTACAAAGGTCAGCCCAGGGTCGACAGGGCACATCACCCTCCTCTGTCACTGCCTGTCTGTGTGCCAGGCTGCAGATCCCTCGCAATCTAACGCTGAGATAAAATGCAGTTGTGAAAGTTCCCCCTGTGTAAACACATACCGGCGATTTCCATCGAGGTGTGGATCCAGGATTGTGGGTGTACGTGGGCTTATGTGTCTGCTTTATCGGAAGAGCTCTGCTTTGCTGAGGTGAGGGTCAGCAGGAGGAGAGTGGGAGCTGATTCTCTGCCAGGGTTCAGATGGCTGATGGATGTCCAGGGTGATAGAGGCCATTGCAGTTTTACAGACAACACTTCCCCTCTCACTGACCTGAGCAGGCCCTCGAATTCTGATACACTGAGTCAGTGGGTAATGTCGACTGTAAGCAAATAGAGGGGTTTGTCCTTTTAATGCTTGTTTCATAAAACCGAAGTTTACCTTGCATTTATTATAACCTATTTTCCTGAACAACAAGCATTTGTCCTTTAAATCCGATACAACACTCGCCTATACAATATATTACAATATCCTTATGCTTGGTTTCTTTTTTTCTACAGATCTGAGCACATGTGCCCGTGAGAGTGTTTGTGTGTAAAAGTGATAACCAAACAAGTATTTGTGTGTCAGTGTGAGAACAGTCTGAGAGCTCTTGTGAAGTTATACGAAGGCAGACAAAGCGAGGAAGTTTAGCCGCTGGTCATTGTTCAAGTGCTCAGTTAGGTAACACTAATAGATGGTCCGTGTGTGTGTGTGTGTGTGTGTGTGTGTGTGTGTGTGTGTGTGTGTGTGTGTGTGTGTGTGTGTGTGTGTGTGTGTGTGTGTGTGTGTGTGTGTGTGTGTGTGTGTGTGTGTGTGTGTGTGTGTGTGTGTCAGTGTACCACGGGGTCTATTCAGCGCTCACAAGGGAGCCTGAGGTGTCTCTCACCTCCGCACACACACTCTCCCACGATCGTTGGCGTTGGCCTTTACTTTGCACAAGCTACACCTCCGTCCCTCACGCTAACAGACAGAAGCTGCATGCTGATCTGAAATCAGTATCTGGCCACAGCCTCTTGGTCTGTCTGGTCTCCCACCTCTTTCTCAGCCTCAGTAGGAAGGAAGTGACCTAACAGTCCAGCACCCGTTCCTCCGCTGAACACATTGTTGCCACATCAAGGCCCACATACGTACAGTAGCCCGGCTGAAGTTTCCCAGCCTCTCCTCTCCTCTCCTCTCCTCCTCTCTCCTCTCCTCCTCTCTCCTCTCCTCTCCTCTCCTCTGCGCTCCCAGACCAACACCTCCCAGAACAAATGGCAGAGCTGAATAACTGTTTGTTTTGAGCGCCATGGCGTGAGTAAGGCTGCCCACTGATATCGACGGGGTAATCTAATCAGAGGACTTAATAAGAATCAGGCCACAGAGGAGGAAAAAACAATTGCTGCTGGAATGTTTTGGCCTTTAGATTTTTTTTTTTTATATTACTGTGGCAGAATTACACAAAGGATGTTTTTCATTCAAAAAAAAAAAAAAAAAATCTTGATTATCTAATTTCTGTTGAATGTTGATGTGCACCTTTCAGATGATGGGTGATGCATTCAGTGTATTGTTAGCCATATTATCACCTGTACAGTCATGTGTCTGGGCGACCCGGACACCACAGGAGAACGTTATTTAAATATATAAATCAGAAACATTGCAGCATTTCTTTGTGTGCTTAATACTTTGGGTAGATTCCTCTTTCTCTCTCTCAGAATTAATGATACTTCATAAAAACATGAATATGAAAAAATGTGTCACTTTTTAATCAAACAAAGGCACATTTCAAGCAGAGCGATGGGATGTGTCTGAAAGTAAATCGTTTTGCGTGCTGCAGAAGTATTTGCAGAACATTCCTGTGTGACACAGAAATAAGCTTCCTGGCTGTTTGTGAGGCCTCAGAGTCGCTGGCTGTAATTAAAAGGAACCGCTCCACAAAATGACGGTTCTCACTATGGCACCGACTCTTGACTCTTCCTCTAGCATCGCTGCGAGCTGGGAAATTGACTGTCACTGCTGTGTCTGTGTGAAGGAGACAGAAAGAAAAAAAAAAAAAAAAAAAGGGACTTGTGAGTCTCTCAGTCGAAAGAGAGAGAGAGGGAGAGACTATCAGGTCTGGCCCCTGCAGCCCACATCAGGCTGTGGGAAATGCAGTCCTGCCTTCCTGTCCCTTCAAAGAAACTCTGCTCTCCAGCAAAATGGCAGGAAGCTTCCCTCGGCTTTCTGATAGACAGGCACGAAATAACCCAGCCTCACCACATCAGCGTCTGCCCCTCTTAGTCTGCATTAAAGCTGGCACCAGTACCCGTCTGCGGGAGTTTTGGCTCCTTTTTTTTTTTTTTTTTTGCCAGCAGGACAAAAAAAAAAAAATCTAAATAAAAGATCCAGCCAAGTGTGTAAAGGAACTGAGATCTTTTGATTTCATTCTCTAATTTACGCCTATTAATGTTCATATGAGTGTTCACTGATACCTGTGAAAATCTCGAAGCAGGCTGAAGGGGGAGACATTAGCCACATTTCTCCTCCGACGATGAGAGCCTTTAAACATAGAAGCCAAATAATATGTAGCCCACTCTGTCCCTCGGCCAGCTAGCTTTCATCTGTGGTGTGTGTCGAGTCAGTCCCGGCCAAGGGTAACTAGCTGTAATCTCTCTTAATGACAGAGTTCAACCTAGGCTGCTGTGGCCTGGTGAGATTCTCCTCCTCATCAGACTGTCTGTCTCTTTCCCCGCTTAACGACTCCTGGAGAACCGAGAGAAGGGCTCTGCTTGCATGTTTGAGGGTAGACAGTGATTTTTTTTTTTTTTTTTTCACAAACATGTTCAATACGTACAACTCGAAATTGTAGTCCATCGTTGTCAAAAGTAGTCACATATCTTGGCTTTCAGGAATGCATGTTTGTCATTCGGCTCTCCTTTAGAGCTCCACAGTGCAGATTAAGAGTTCAACATGCAGACGTATTTTTAGCATGTTAAGGTAGTAAATGTTAAACATCACAAAAACCTAAATAGAAGCAACAACCCCAGTTTTCTGGCCAGTCACTTCAGTCTTGGCTTCGCAAAACCTGCGGCTGGCATCTGGCTCTTAGCTGCACCGATGCTGCGTCTGCGAGAAAATTAAGTTTAAGTCTGACTTTTGTCGATATGTGCTGCAGCAGCAAAGTAGTGTCAGTGTAATATTTCCATCATGAGCAGTGCTGAACAAGTGTTGCCCATTGACTTATTGATTGCACAGTGTAATGTATCATTATACAGTGAGGGGCTGATGCTCGCTTCGATCCCCCCATCTGTCTCTCTTTCTCACATAACCATCCATCCATCTTCATGGCCCCAGACTTTTTTTTTTTTTTTTTTTTTTCTTTCATTCTGCTGTTCATCTCGTCCTTTTCGATCCGATCTGGCCCGCTTCCCTCCCTGCTTAGGGAGGGTTCAGCTCTTGGCTTTGGCAGCAGTAGCAGTACCAGAGGGGAAGGGGGACAGGACAGGACAAAGATTGTAGCAGCGTATTAATGAAATTAGCGCAGTAGTTGGTTTGGGAGTATCAGACGCCAGGCACCAGGGCTGGGCCGGGGTTAATTAGCTGGCAGCAGGCCTCTAATTGGGTCAGGACCGTGTCAGGCCCCTGGCTCTGGCCCTACAGGGATTGGATTACACCGTCAGGGGACAGACAGTAAAGGGGTGGGGGGGGAAGGGGAGAGAAGGATGGAGAGGGTGCAGTAGATGTGGTAGAAAAGGGGGAGAGAGGAGGGACAGGAGTGTAGCCCTAATCTGCCAGCAGGAGGTACGGAGGAGGAGGAGGAGGTGGGGAGACCTTGCTGGCTGAATACCGCTGTTAGACTGGATTGGATTTAGGTGGGTGGGGGGCTGCTATGTAAGGGGGGGGCAGGGCAGGTGGCGAAGCTTGATATGTGTATCCATAGCAACGGCAGAGTGGTGTGACACCAAGTGGGATTTGCTTGTGTTTTGGGGTGTGGTCTCAACAGGATGCTTGTCCTTTTCAATCTAGAATTAGAAAGTTGTTTTGTCTTCATTTTGACGCATTTTTAAGTCAGATTTCCATCTTGACAAGACATTTTTTCGGGTCAAGTGCTCTGTTGTGTATTAACTGTGTCTCTTTTTTTCCCCATCAGCTAAAAACAATTTATTTCCAGCACCATATGAGATAGATATAGACAAATCCATTCAAACCCGTCTAATCCCTCCATAATTCATGTTACACGCATGACACCCACTTTGTTCTCAATTATGACCCCTCTGTCCAACGTTTCACTGCCGCCACACTTAGATTATATATTGTAAGCCATAAGTGTAATGTTGGAATGGTGCAGACCACAAAAGCCTTCCCAAATCGTAATCATTCATTCTCTTGGCTTCGCTTTTTAGGGTATGGCAGTGATATTTAGAAAACAGAGATTTTCTGCATGCGGCACTGAATGTTTTGAACTCGACCACCTCTCTCTCTCTAAGCCACACAGCGAGGCTTTAGGGAGTTTGGGTTGTTTCAGCGGTGGGATATTTTTTCAGCCAGTCCCGTCATTTCTGCTGGACATCTGTTTCCCTGCTTTCCTTTGATTATTTTGCACCTTTTTTCTTGTACCAGTCGTTCCTCTTTGGGCTGAATGCCTTTTGAATTTGAGATATGTTAGTGATCAGATGGTGCACTCAGCTGGTACGTAAAG